GGGGGGGGGGGGGTTATCCTTTAGATATAATCGTTTCCTTAGGAAGAAAAGATGTGCATTCTGAGGCAACTTATGGATGGTAACATAGTTACTGAGCTGGTATTACTGGACATCACTCATTTCAGGTCCTGGCCGTTGAAACTACTGAGCACTTACCAGCGACTAGTGTTTAAGTATTACACATTTATGAACTAAAAGTATGAAATAATTTTAAAAAAAAAAGAATCAGTTTTTTTTTGATGAAGTAAAGAAATTTCATTAAATGGAATAAAAAAGATGCATAGCAAAAATTACAACATAAAGGTATTGTCTGCTCATATACAAAAACTTACAAAAACTTATCGGAACGGACAACTAAGGAGCAGACAAAATTCATAAATAGTTCAACACTAGTTACATGGGCCTAATTGAGCCAACTAAATAAGTTAATTAAACAAGTGGTTTTAAGAGTGTGGTTGGGAGTTGAAATCCCATCAAAACATCTACGGTTCCTTTCATTCCAAATACTCCAAAAAATAGCACCAGGTACCATTGACCAAGTCTTTTTTGATGGATTTCCCAATTCTCCAAGAACACCAACTCTCATATTATTCCTTGATACTGTTTGGCATAACCCAGGCAAGTCCAAAAACTAATAAAAATGTACTCCAAATATTAGTTGCTACTTTACAGTGCAAAAAAAGATGTCTCACACTCTCAGATTCCATCTGGCACATATAACATCTATTCACAGTCGGTATACTCCTTCTGCTAAGATTGTAGGTAGTTTGGTTTTCCATATAAGCTTCCATGGCCATTTTTCGATCAATTCCTTATTGGATCATAGATTGTCATTTCCTCTTTTGACAGTATAGGTTCTCTCTTTTGATTCACCCTATTCCAACCTATCCTGCACCTGGGAATTGACGTTAGCACCTGATAATTTATTAAGAAAACCCAACATATCATTCAACTCCCAATCTTGGATGTCCCTTCTGAAATGTGTAGCCCAAGCATTATTTCGCCAAACATGTGAGATAGTGGCATCTTTATTACTAGCAAGTAAAAATAAAGCTAGAAATTCATCTTTCAGGATCTCTGTTCCTAGCCATTTATCTTTTCAGAAAGATATATGAACCCCGTTCCCTACCTTGAGTGATGACTTGAGCTTGAATTCTCCCCAAAGATTTAAAATGTGTTTCCATGGGCCTGAACCATGTGGAGCTCTTCCCTGCCTAGTGCACCAGTTGTTTGCCACTCATACTTTGCTTGAATTACTATTTTCCATAGCCCTGAACTTTTCATGTTGTACCTCTAATTCCATTTCATCAATAAACTCTTGTTATGCAAGGCAAGATCCTTTATCCCTAGCCCTCCGTGGTTATTAGGAAGAATAACTCTTGGCCATTTAACCAGATGGAAATTGTGAGTATCACTGTTGCCTTCCTATAAAAAATCTCTTCTTAGTTAATCAAGTCTCCTTTGAACCTTAGTTGGGATTGGGAATAAAGACATGAAATATGTTGGTATGCTATCTAGCACACTATTGATAGTTTGCCTCCAAAGGATAGGTATTGTATTTTCCAGGAAGCCAATTTTCATTCAAATATAAAACCATTTTTCATATGTTAAAGTGTGGTTGTTTCTTTCTTCCCTCGGAATAGTAAAAATAGATTGAAGTAATGAGAGTGTAGTTGTGTTTGCCATTCTGGTCAACAAGCTAATAAAATACTCCAGAGACAATACAATTCGTATACATTCTAGTGATGTTCCCATTTGGAAGTTTGATCTGCACTAAACTAATTCATAATTAGGATTTTAAGCGACAGATTAAAGAGTATAATATTACTGTGGTACATATAAGTAATATTTATATGAAAGTGTGATGACCCAAAACGGTCGTCACTTGTTTTACACGTTGATTCTGTATTCCGAGGCTTAAAAACCTCCTTTTGTCTCACCTCGATTTGCATGCGCAGTCCGGGTGTGTATCCGAAAAGCCATTATGTGAAAATATGTGAAAAATGATAAATTTTGCTTTTAAAATAAATTTGAGTTGACTTCGGTCAATATTTTGGGTAAACGGACCCGTACCCGTACCCGTGATTTGACGGTTCCGGAGAATCCGTAGAAATATATGGGACTTGGGAGTATTTCCGGAATTGAATTCCGAGGTCCCAAGCCCAAGAAATAATTTTTTGAAGAAAATTGTTTAACTGAAATTTTAAGAGTTTTCAAAATTTTAAATATGTTTGAATTTGATGATATGAGGCCCATATTTTGATTTCGGAGCCCGGTACAGGTCTTATATGGGATTTAAGTTAAACCTGTAAAATTTGGTATAAAACTGACTTAATATGACGTGAATCGGACCATCGGTTGATAAAATTGGAACATAAGAGTTCATGAGATTTTTCTTTGATTTTGATGCTAAATTCATATTTATTGATGTTATTTTGACGATTTGATCGAACGAGCAAGTCCTTATGATGTTTTTGGACTTGCGTGCATGTTTGGTTTTGATTCCCGAGGTCTCGGGTGAGTTTTGGATAGGCCACAGAATGAAATTTGACTTAAGAAAACTGCTGGTATATTGCAGATATGCAGGCTTCGCAATTGCGAAGCCTGGCTTGCAATTGCGAGCTCGCATTTGCGAAAAACCCATTGCATTTGTAAAGACTGGCTGGATAGGGAACCTTCGCATTTGCGAAGCTTATGTCGCAAATGCGACCTTGATAGGCACCGCAATTGTGAATATTGTTCGCATTTGTAAAGAAAGCAGACATAGGCCATCTTTCGCAATTGCAAAGCTTTAACCGCAATTGCAAGTTCACATTTGCGAACCAGGCTTCGCAATTGCGATATCTGCGCATGTGTAAATCATGACTTAGCCAAAAATCTCTCATTTTTTCAAACTTTCTCAAAACCTAAATACCTTTGGGCGATTTTCAAAGACAACTACTCTTCCAAATTGTCACGCCCCAACCTCGGGAGGTGCGACCGGCGCTCAATCGAGTGAACCCAACTGAGCAAACCTCTTTGATACCTTCTACCCACTCACTATGATCAAGAAACCATGCTTTCATTTGAATTAGACATTAGGAAGGATCGTACATGAAACATTACTAGTTCATTTTATATTACAATCCTCAAACAATAGTTATATTCCCAAAATATTATGCAGTTACAGTTTAGAGGAAACAAGAGTTTAGAATTACAACATAGTCTAGTGACCCATCCAATACCCGAACATAATCCACAAAAACGTCTACGAAGCCTCTAAGGATACAAAAGACAGTTATGATAACGTCGGCAACAAGGCCCCGGCTATACCTCAAAAGTGACAATTTTATAATAAAAAGTGTACAACATAACCCCTGAAGGAAAGGGGCTCACCAGGACTTCTGAGAGGAGGATACTCCGCTAGCTGCGATCGGCATTGTCCGCTATAGAACCACCAACATTCATTCAAAAATGTAGCTCCCCCGGCAAAAGGGACGTTAGTACCATGGAATAGTACTAGTATGTATAACTAAACACCATCTTGTTAGAAAGAAAAACAATACAAGAGTAAAGAAATCATAAGGACTACAAAGCTTCAAACAATCACTACGTTATCAAATAAAAGGTCCACATAGCTTTCACATAATTTTCATAACTTTAGGTTGGGGCATTCCATATTATTGCATCATCATTCACAATACCACCGCTTTCTTGCTCGGAGTCCGATCACGGCCTGATCGGCTAAGCTGCCTCATTTGAGACATATACCTCAATCACTATTTCATTCTCACTTTCCGGTTTCAATCATCAACATAATACCACCAAGTGTGCATCATGGTGTCCGATCACGGCCCGATCGGCTAGGCCGTCTTACCAAGACGTTACCCCTTTTTCCATTAATCATCTCACTTCAATTTTTGGTTTCACATACATTTGTTCATCGGCACTTGGGCCACAATTACCACATCAATAATTGGCACTAGGCCACATTCCTTAACTCACATTTTACATTGTTCCCATTTTCAACATTAACCTTGCCATTTAAGATCATAGGCACATACAAGATCAATTCAAGTTGTAAGCATAAAGAGGAATTCACCTAGTTCGGCATAATAATCACAATGTAACCTTGGCTTAAAATTTAGGCATTTTAGCACATAGTTCATGTTCTTCACACATCCTCAATTTTACAAAGAATAACACATTAAGCACATGGAGATGCACCTTCCACATATATTCTCACAACACTAATTCATTTGATATAACAAGTACTACATTAATCAAATTTCGGACTTACAATATTTGCACAGAGACCATGGAAGCTCAATTTCTAAGAAGAGAGGGTTTTAGCCATACATACCTCATTAGAGCTTTCCTTAAATCCTTACAATAGTTTCGGAATTTCCTAGCAACTTCGATCTATTTCATGAGGATTTCAAATTGAATCAAGAATTAGGGACATGATTAAGATTCTAGCTCATTTGAATATATTACCAAGCACTAAGTGTGCATTGTGATTTTAGGACCCCTTTTGTGAGGGATTTTTATCATCTTACACCCCAATTTCTATCTTCTTAACTCACAATCTCCCCATATCCTATTATCATTTACGCATGCAAGATAATCAACTCTTATACCCATGAACCCATTTGTTAATCACTTATTTTAATAGAAATTTTGAAACCATAGTTTAGGGCACAAGTTCTTACCTCTTAGGATGAAGGCCTAGCAAATTTTACTTGAAAATCTTCAAAGAATTGGGCAAGGATTGTAGTGACTTGGTGAGAATTAGTTTCTCCCTCTAGAACTCCCTCTCTCCCTCTATTTGCAGTAAAAAATAGCATAAAAGGGGTCTAATGGGGTATTTTTAATGGGATGG